GCCCGAAACGTCAGCTTTCCTGCTCCTCTGATGCTGCTTGGCCTGCTGTGTTCATCCAGCCCTGCACCTTGTTGTCCTTGAAATGTTGCCTTGTTTCACCAACAAAATGAGATTGGGAGCTGCATTATATCTGTGACGTCTGTACTGCTTGCGTGACATCTGATTTCATAGGCAATGATACTTACATAACCGGGACATTAGTAATTACCAGAAGTGTAAAGTAAACTTGTCCACTTTGAAGGAAGAATTGAAAAGCACAATATTATTTAAATAGAAAGAAACTCCGGAACTCCAAGGTACAGAGAGATCGGGCTGTCTTATGACATGAATCACAAGAAAAGTTAGTTGGCAGCAAGTGAGCAGGAAGGCAGGTGGGATTTTGTCATTTAATCCAATGAAATGGAACATAGAATAGGGATAGTTTGCTACAGTTGTACAAGGTATGGGTGAGAGCATATCTAAAGTACCACATGTAGGAAGTTTGTTAGCTCAGTTGTTGGGTGGTTTGTAATGCAGAGTGATGCCAACAATCTGGGTTCCATTCCCACACCGGCTGATCTTACAGTGAAGTTTCCTCCTTCCCAACCTTTCCTTTCACCTGTGCTGATTCCCCAGACTGAACAGCTGCCAGTTATTTCCGTGGGACTGTGGCTACTTTACCATGTGTGGTTTTGGTCTCGTTATTTAGGAAAGGACATAATTGCATTAGAAGGAGCGCGGAGGTGGTTCTGGGATGAAGAGGGGGGATGTTTACAGAGGGATCTGGGTGCTGTAGAAAAAGAATCCAAAGTTGGTAAGCAGTGAGTGATCAAGAAGGGAAATGGGATGGTTTGTTTTAATGCAAGGGGAATGGAATGCCTGTATCCATTGGAGTTTAAAAGAATGAGAGATGAACTTATCACAACCTGAGAGGAATTGAGGCTGGTCGCTGAAAGGATTTTTCCCTTCAAGGGAGAGACTGGGACTAGAGGGACATAGAGACTAAGGAAATTTGGCATGTCTGTAAAGACTCTCACCATCAATTTTTATAGATACACTATTGAAAGCACGCTATCCAGATGCATTATGATTTGGTAAGGCAATTGCTCTGCCCAGGACCGTAAAAAACTAAAGAGAGTTGTGAACACAGCCCAGTCCATCATGCAAACCAACTTTCCATTTGTTGACCCCATCTGTACTTCTCGCTGCCTCGGGAAGGCAACCAACATAATCAAAGACCCCTCCCACCCCGGTTACGATCTCTTCCAACCTTTCCCATCGGGCAGAAGACACAAAAGCTGAAACGCATGAACCAACAGATTCAAGAACAGCTTCTTCCCAGCTGTTATTTGCCTTCTGAATGGACCTGTCAAATTTTAAATTTAATATTAATCTCGCTGTTTGTGCACCTTCTCTGCAGCCGTAACATTGTATTCCTCGCTCTGTTCTATTAACCCGGTGCACTTTGTATGGTATGATCTGCCTGTACTGCACGCAAAACAAAAACCTTTCACTGTACCTAGGTACATAGGACAATAATAAATCAAATAAAGAAAACATATTTTAAAAATAAGAAATCTTAAATTTAAGAATGAGATGAGGAGAAATCATTTCTCCCAAAAGGCTGAGTCTTTGGAATTATCTTGGTGGCTCATTGAATATTTCTAAGGCTGAGTTATGTTGGAGATATTGGGGAGGACTTCCCTGCTCTACATTGAATTGGGAATCCTTTACCTGAGAGGCAGATAGCACTTCTATTTAAAATCTGATGTGACGGGCAGTTTACCCATAGTTCATTAAAAGCGAGATCAAATCTTTCCCCAAGGGATAGCTGTAAGGTGATTAATAGAGCTTGTATGTAGTTACAGAGAGATTATTCCATCTGGTGAAGCACTCCCCAGCAGTGGGGCTATAACCTTAACATGAGAACTGCAACATTTAGAGTTGATGGAAAACACTTTTTCACAGAAATCTGGAGCACTGTACACCCAAAACGAACTGTTGGAGTTGATATCTTGATTGAAAATGTCAAAGCAGGGGTTGATAGATTGAAAGATATTAAGGGTTAGGGAAACAAGGCGGAGATGGCTTTAAGATACAGCGTGGTCATGCTCTAATTAAATGTGGAATAGATTGAAAGGGCTGACTGGCCTAATCCTGTTTCTCTGTTCCAAATTAATTAATTCATAGTGACTGGAGTGCAGTAAACCGAGGGATCTGCATTTATGCTGACTGTAAAGGTTGGCTGATTAATGAAAGAAAATAGTTCACAGAACCTCTAAAGTGTGGAAAGAGGCCATTCAGCCCATCAGATCTGCTCCTACCCTCTGAAGAACATCCCAGCCACCTACGCCCATAACCCCAAATTTACCATGGCACATCCCCGGGCACTGTGGCTAATCCACCTAAACTGCACATCTTTGGACTGCAGGAGGAAACTCACACAGACATGGGGAGAGCGTGCAAACTCCACACAGTCTCCCAGGGCTGGGATCAAAACCGGATCCCTGGCATTGTGAGGCAGCAGTGCTAACCACTGAGCCACTGTGCTGCTGTGATGGAGACGTGTAGTTATGTAGATATAACCTAGAGTTAAATTTTCTTTATTTTGAAACTAAGTAAGCAATGCTTTATTCTGCATTTGGCCTTCTGTACACCTGAACACTATGTGCTGGCACTGGTGTCAAAAGATTGGTTTAAACTTCATTTAATTTTATCAAGTCTTTAATTTATCATTCTCTTTTTAATAGACCCCAATAATACTGACACCGAATGCTTTACCATCTGCCATTCACTTCTGGAGCACTCTTAGCCCAATAGCACCGATGAGCCCAGCCAAACTCTCATTTCAGGTAAGGTTGAAGACTGAACTTTGTAGCATCATATTTTCCTGGGACTCCTGGAGTATTTCTGGGGAAAGACTAGCAGAAATTTGGGGAAACAGTGTTGGGTACTTTTGCTGTTCCTCTGATAAATGGGAGATTGAGAGAAGCCCTGCAGAAATTCCTCATGCCAATCTTTAGATGATTGAACCAATCTTATGGATTGACACATCTTGGAGGTGAACTTCTGGAACATCTGAATAATGTATTATTGGCCTTACACAGGGTCAGCTGAAGCCAGGGTTGTATATACCCACATCAGGGTCTAAAGAGCCAAGTGTAACCAGATTTGAAAACAGTAGTGTTGGGTGTGACGGAGAGGGGATGGTTTGTGGATTTGAACAATTGTCCCTAACCGCTGTAGACACTGCCTCAGATCCTGCATTTAACTTATCTTAATTCACTCTTGGGACGTGGACATGGCTAGCTTGGCCAGCATATGTTGCCTATCTCTAGTTACCCTTGAGAAGATGGTGCTGAGTCCACCTAATATACGTAGATCCATAATGCTTTGGAGAGGGATCTGCGAATGCGTGACACTTCATTCATCATTCAGCAAGGAGAGGCTAAAAATTCAGACATTAATGAAGGAAAGTCAATGGGTAACGTTCTCTTCTGAACCACACTGACATATGGATCTTAAAACATATTTTAGATTTTAAAGGCACCAAGGGACATAGAGAGAAAACAGGAATGTGGTGTTGAGTTTAAGGATCTGCCAAGCTCCAATTGAATAGCAGAGCAGTCTTGAATGGCCGAATGGCCTACTCTTGCTCCTAGTTTCTAAGTTTCTATCCCAAGGGCAGACCAGTAATTGCTCTCCCCAGGATGTTTAATGATGGGTGGAGTGCAGGAGGAGGGTAGAGAGGCTTGGGAAGATGGTGGTGTTGAGGTAGTCTCACTTGGGCTCCTCTGAGTCTTCAGGTTACTGTGCTGGGGACTTTGGTTCAAATCCCACCATAGCAGTTTATGGAATTTAAATTAAAAATCTGGAATTGATAATGACCACGAGCATATCTTCAATTGTTGTAAAAGCTCACCTGGTTCTTTAACACCCTTTAGGAGGGAAATCTGCTGTCCTTACCTGGTCTGGCTTAAATGTTACACCAAACCAAAGCAATATGGTTACTCTTAACTGCCCTCTGAAATGCCTAACATTCTGGATGGCTTAAGGGCAATTAGGGATGGGCAACAAATACTTACCTTACCAGTGACACCTATTTCCTATGAATGAATTACGAAAAGAATAGTCAACAGAAAGATAACATAATAATAGATAGAGGTTTATCATTTCAAATCTGAGATTTCTAGATGTTTGCTAATTGAACCAAAAGGTTAAGGGGTTGAGGTAGGTGGATAGAATGAAGACACATGTGTTTGTTTAGTTGTCAGAGAGGGCCTAGTGTGTATTTGTATTGTATTGTCAGAGCAAATCCTTAAATCCTCAAATCAGGAGGCGATGGCCACAAAGATGCATCATAACATGTCTGAACAGGTTGTTAAAATAATTTTTCACTGACTGGCAGAGAAGGTTTGAGGGGCTGAACGGCCTTTGATTTCTACGTTTGCAAGTACTTAGTAAATGCTGTCTTGTCTTTCCAGTTTCCTTCAGCGGGGAACACACAGATCCACATTCCCGTAGCCTCCATGGATGGATTATCTACACCAGTACTTTCGTCATCAGCACTGCAGAAACCCTGAACCATGCACAGACAGAAAGCAATGAAGTATTCCCAAGTGTCGACCGTAGGTGGACTGGATGTATTCTATTCAAAGCAGCCTCGAGGGCAATGAGTTGTCAGGATGGATTGTACAGACTCTGCTGACCAGACCCAATTCCTTTTCAGAACAAATCTCTTCACTCAGGACTGATTGATAGTGGTAGACCGATGAGTGACCCATCTCATTGTCAAGAGATGTTGTTGGTGCAGGGTGGGGGTGCCGGGAGATTGGGGTACATGCTCGGCAACTAATCTTCTTGTAACATGCTCAAAGGCCTGGGTTATGTGCACAATCCCGCTCACGCCTCACCTGGTGTGGGCACCACTGTGATGTGTGCTGCCAAAACAGTGTTTCACAATGTGAAGGTGGCCATTCGATTCTCAGCTGGCATGTGTGCGTCTCAGCATCAGCCTCTGATCACGCACACACATACACTCATTATCAGAAACTAGCCGTTCTTAAAAAAATTGCATTTTCCAGGATGTGAGAAACGGCGCAACTTTTAGAAAATTAGCCAAGGACTCAAAGGGGGCATTATAATAATGGAGAGTTTGGAATGTTGCTTTAAATCTCCAGATGATTGTTGAAGCAGAGTCAAAATTAATGAAAGGGTAATTGGGCAGATGCACGTAAAAGAGAAATATTGTTGCCATGTCAGGTGAACAGGACGATGGGATGAGGCTGGTGGGAAAAGTGACACAGGAGTGGATTTAATAGGTTGAATGACCTGCCGCAGAGTGGTGACACTCTAAGGTTGTCAATGAGAGTACTCCAGTTTTCCAATGCATTCTTGCTGCTTATAGAACAAGTGATGTTGTTGGTCACCAGTTGTGGAAGAGGAATCTGTTTTTTGTTGCGGAGGCACACCATTAGTTGACATCACCAGGTTTGGTGGTTATGTGAACAAGTGCATAAAACAAGAGCCAAGGATTCAAAAACCCATTTGCTCCAACAAACCCTGACCCTTCACTCAATGAAATTATCCCCTTAGTATTCGGCTACAAGGGATGTCCCCAGTGTCTATGGTTCCATTATCTTATTTAGACAATGATAACCTAGATAATTACTCATTTGAGTAAATATAAAATTTATGCCCTCTTTGCCTTATTAGTCATTTACTTTGACTTGTCATTCCATACTCATTGTATAATGCATTTTGGTATTTTGGACTTCGCTAGCTCGGTTGGCTGGACAGCTGGTGAGTGATGCCAACAGCATGGTTTTGATTCCTGCACCAACTGAAGCTACTGTGAAGATCCTGTCTTCTCAAATTTGTATCTCACCTGGGACTCTCAGATTAAATTCATCACCAACTGTCCCTCTCGAATGAGAGAGTGGTCCTCCAGGAATGTGATGATTGCTACCAATTGATACTTTTTAGATGCTGTCATCAAGGAAATCCATTCCACCCTCTTAACATCTAGACTGTAGAGAGACAATTTTAACCCTACAGTGAAAATTATCCTTGGGACTAAACAATGCTGATTCAGCTCTTCTGTGCAGCCATCCTTGGTGAGCCCTCCAATTATTGCCCAACTCTAATTTTCCTCTTTATTCTATTATGGGATGTTGGCATTGTTGGCAAAGCCAGCATTGAAGGCCTGTCTCAATTTACCTACGAGTTGAATGGCATGTTAGAGGCATTTCAGGGAGCAGCTAAGAGTCAACCACTTCGCTATGGGAAGAAGTCACATAAAGACCAGACCTGGTAAAATTTCCTGAAAGGCCATTTGTGAACCAGAATGAGCTATTAATGATAGTTTCATGGTCATGATTACTGAGATTATAATACCAGATTTATCAACTGGATTTAAATTCCATCAATTGCCTGGTGGGTTGACTTTAGCTCTAACAAGTACATCCTACTTCTTCTAGGTTCAAGGACAATTAGGGATGGGTAACAAATACTGACCTTATAAGTGACCTTTCTAAATCCCCTGGAAGAATCTAAACAAGCACTAGTGAGATCTTCCAGCAGCAAGCAAGGAGGATGAAATGGCATTTTAACAAAAATTCTTGTTTCTTTGTGAACCTGAAAGCAAGAGGGAGTGGTGATTTAATCAGGTGTAAGATGAACATTAGGCTTGTGTGAAGGTCCTGAGATGTGACAGCTTGATTATATGCAGTAGTGGAGGTTAGCACATGAGAATTTAATGACTTTGCTTCAAAGTTATTCCAGAAAAACCCAATTTTCAAATCCACGACTGGAGCTAGATCTTTGCGGTCCATGAGGATAAAAAGAGATGGTTAAGGGCTGGTGAACATGACAGCTATCAATTGTTGTAAATTCCCATCTGGTTCACTGGAGTCCTTTAGGGAAGGAAATCTGCCACATTTACCTGGACTGGCCTACACATGACTCCAGACTCAGCAATGTGGCTGACTCTTGTTTGCCCTCTGCAATGACTGAAGCAAACCATTAAGATAGAAAGGCATTTGGCGATGGGCAACAAATGCTAGCTTGCTGTGACATGCACATCCTGTAAAAAAAAAGAAAAAAAGGCTCAAATTTAACTAATTGAATGGCGGACCAGGCTTGAGGGGCTGAATGGCCACCTTCTCCCCTTATATTTCGCACTCTTGTGAAAAGAGATGCGTAGACTGACCTTCTCCTGCCACTTCAGTGGGAGATTTCCACATTTGAAGAAAGGCACCGGCTTTATTACTTTTCCTGGCCTTGTGCAACACCCCACTGCCCACCCTGACACATACCCCCACAGGCCCACTGTGCCCCCAGGGGAGGATTGCAAAGGCTCAAGGACTTTTTCCGGCCCAAACCTTCATTTAAATCTTGTCAGCTGGCAGGCTGGATTGAGTTTGCTAGATTCAGGCTTGAAAGGTTTTTGCCAAGTCGAAAAGGTGCTCTGCTGCCTAGCCACAAGGGTGCAGGGTGTCAGGAGTGTGTGGTTTTGGATAGCTGAAGACGGGGGTAGCAACGACTTTTTATGCTTTTGTTCCCTGTGAACTCAGTAGGGAGCACTCCAACTCTGTAAACGTAATTTTAACTGTACCCGTTTCGAAGGGTGTCTACTGCTGTGCCATCAGCAAGACTGGTCAAGAGTGTGCAGGGCATTGCTCAGTTGTGTCCTGAATGGCACTGTGGGCAACAGCATCCTGAGTTGCACATTAAAAGTGTCCACTGCCTGTACTCCAGCTTGTCTTTCTCTACCTTCTGTGCTGACCTCCGAGGTAGAGACTCCTGAAACCAGAAGTCCATGCCACGAATGTGGTTGGCATGACAATCGGCATGCCCCCAGACTCTGAGAGCAGCAGCAACGTAGTTTAGAGAGAATGTTGTATATTGCCTCAAGGAGGAAAAGGCTTTGGTGTTTAAAGATGGCTGCAACAAGGAGCAATCACAAAATGGTTATTTCCACCACCACCACCCCCCCCAACCATACCTCAGTGTGAGCGCAACATGAGTGAACGCTGCTCTACACTCCAAGAGACTTGGATCTGGAATGCACTGCCTGAGAGTGTGGTGGAGGCAGGACCAATCCATGGCTTTCAAAGCGGAAGTAGATAACTATCTGACGAGAAAGGTATTGCAGGGCGTTGTGGGGAAAAGTGTGCATTACGAGGTGAGTTGCGCTTACAGATTGGGTGCTAGCAGAATGCAGTGGGCCAAATGGCATCCCATTCACCATTCTTTGATCCTGTTGCTAATTTGGCTACACAAAAAGTGGCCCTCATCAACTCCTTCTGGGGAACAGTTTCCTTGGCAAGCCAATCAAGCAATGGCAGAAAGCTATTTGTCTGCTTTGAGGTAGAATTCTTCACATGAGGAGCTTGGGGAATGGGGTCTGTGTGTTGGGGATAGGGGTGGGGGTTGGATATTGGACAGTTCTTTGTTCTTCTCCAGGCCAGGCAGTGGTATCTTGAGTATCCTCCTGAGCCAGCGAAGGGACCTTCATTTGATACATCAGGGGCAAGTACCTCTAGGAATGGGATGCTACCTCGGTCCTGCGCTGTTGTATCACTCTAATCTACACACTCAAGATTGGGTCAAAACCCAAAACCGAATCTGCTGAGCCTGAGGTGTAGAATGCTACTGACTGAGCCAGGCTCATTTTGTAATTATCACTACATTGCAATCTCACTCAACGAGGTTCCACAGTGACTGGTGTGGATGACATTGCATGGAAGGTTGTCTGTTTGAGGGCGATAATGAGGGGGCATTGAAGAAAGATTGAAGCAACAGGGAGTGACTGATGATAACATTGGGCTAGGTCTGAAATTTAATACTTTCCACTTCCCAGCACTGATAGTTCTGATCTCCTTCAATGTCCGAATAGGTAGACAAGCTGAATGGCTTTTTCCTGTTGCTGTATTTCTGCAATGCACACAAATATCAGATATATTGAACAGTGGAATTATAGAATATACTGTGTCATTTCTTAAATGTTATATATGTCATGATATTGAGTTACTCCACTGCTGTATAAGTATATCTTTCAGAACTCTTGCAGTATATTCCAAGTAAAATAATTGATATGGAAATAGATTTATTTTTTAGAATGTTGTTTATGGTTGTGTAATCAGAGGAGCAAATCGATTCTCATTCATGAATTATGAGCTGTTACAGAGTTCAATTACATATGCGCATGTCACCAACACTGTTCACCTGGAGACTCGTTCATGTCGATTCCTCTGTTATAGGCTATTGAGTTGTTTTTCATGCAGACTTTAAAAATGTGTTATGCATTCGATAGAAACACGCATCAGTCCAATTAATCAACCACAATTTAATTGTCTGGCAAAACACATTTGAGGGGCTGAATGGCCTGTTCTTACGTTCCTATCCAAGTGTTTGATACCCAGGACCATTCTTGAGCTCAGGAGACAAACAGCTCACCAAGCTTCAGAGATAGTAGGAACTGCAGATGTTGGAGAATCTGAGATAACAAGGTGTAGAGCTGGATGAACACAGCAGGCCAAGCAGCATCAGAGGAGCAGGAAGGCTGACGTTTCGGGCCTAGACCCTTCTTCAGAAAACTTT